TTCATTTCAAAAAGCTGACAAATCGCTTGTCCATGGCGGCTTTAGCTAGTGTCGAGTACCGATGTTCTGATTTATGTTGATGTTATCTCCAACAAACAGTCCATTTTTTCCAGTCAGATCCGCACGCCGTCATTCTCAATAAATTGGCCTTCCCTAGTCTCCACTGCTCGATCTCCAGTTATACTTTGAAGACTCTGATCTCATAAACCTTCGCACAAACACGATTCCAATAAATATCAGTCCAAAGCATTTGTAATCTGCGACCACAAATCAGATGAGACCAGATCTGTGACGCACAAAAACAAAGCATACCTGGTTTGATTGACGTTTCGAATGCTAAGTAATCAACACTACCCGCACCGCGCCAATCAGAAGCTGCGTTCGTGGGCGAACGCAGTTTTTCAAAATCGTGGGGTTTGCGGGCAAGCGGTTCCTTCGTTCCCCTCGCCCTCCCCCATCATTAATTTTTTTTTTGCTCTTGTCCCAGCTTTCTAGACGAACCTCGCGAGGAAACGCTTGCTACGCAGGCTAGGAAAAACATAGCGTGGAAAAGGAAGGGAAAGTTTCCCGCTCGACCAAAGGCCTGTTCACAGGCTACTACTGATAACTGGAGCTGGCCTCTGATGAGACTGATTCTCGTCCAGGGGGGTACTCCCTTATATAAGCCATATAGGTATGTGCCACCCCAAAGGGTTTGTTGACGCCGGTTTGGTCTGAAAACGGATATAGGCGTTGCCAGGAGACTATGGCCATTTTGGCATGGTCTGGAATTGGGTAGTTTCGAAGAAATTACGGGTCGGATTATATGAAGGTATTTGTCGTTTCAATTCCAAATGAATAAGAAAAAACCGAGAAATAAGCGAATTCAAAGTGTATTTTGCTGGCGTTCTGATCCAAGTAATGATAACATAATTTCTGAGAAACCAGGTCTGAAAACGGGTGTGAAAACAGAGAAAAGCGGCCTGAGGACCTGGTTGGTGTGAAAAATGACATTTTATGGACTGAAATAGAGTCAAGATTTGGAGAACCGGACGAGGTCTGGCAGAAAGGGTTCTTTTATTCCTGTGTAGTTAAGGGTAATTTAGGCTAAGTAGGTTCTTAATTCTGGTGAAGGAGATATAGTTGATGACTACCAGAAATAAAAAGAAACTTGAGTTTGGTCCTTAAATTGTGTACAGTATTCTCTGATTCACAGCTGTACAATACAAACCAGCCTTCATGCAAGGTCCATGAAGACAATTAGCATGTTATCTCTAGTTTGATAAAGCTGTTTTCTGTGTAGGAATGGCGGTGACGTAATACTTCTATTTGTAATTACCGTTTGGTTCAGTATATTGTTGTAAGACTCACGAAGTCAAATTCCTTAGTTAAAATGTTTATCATAATTTATCTGTAAGCTATATATAAGAACTCGGCTTGGCTAAACAGCCTCTTATATTTTTGGGTAGATGAAAGTGCCAAATTACGTACATACATCTAGCCGGATTGAAAACGTTACCGCCAAACTTGTGGATCTTTTCCGTCCAACATTTTTTTTTCGTCCAAAACCACCCAAAGTAGCCATTATAAAAACTAAGAGTGCAACCATTGCTTCTTTCTTTTCTCCTCCTTTCTATATGCTCCTCGCCTTTTTTCTTTTTCTCCTTTCTTTTTTCTTTAGAGTGGTTTTGGAGCTTATCAGGCCCAAAAAACCTGCCTTTTGACGCCTTTTCACTCAAATGACTGCAAATTTCGTTAGGCTGGTTTTCGAAAACTCGGCTAAACATACATACACACAGGCTTTATTGTCGATTTATTGCATAGCTGCCCCAAGGGGGCTCTTCCGCCATATATAAACTTTCTGCCAGCAGGCTCTTAACCCTTTCACTACCAAATTTAATCAAAACAAACTGCTATGCGATCAAATTTCCAAATTTCATTTTGTGAAATTTTGAACAACAAATAGCACCTTGTGAAAGTAAAGGCAGAGAGCTTTCATTTGAATGGTCACATCATAGGATTTCGTCCGCACACTCAAAACGGTTACAAAACGTTACAAAACTCTATGGAGTTACAAACTGACTCTACCCGTTACAAAACTCTATCAAGCGCTCTGTGAGTGAAAGGGTTAAACCACTTGTTTCTTACTAGCGGGTGTCTACTGTATTTTGAAAGTGTCTCGTAGACATCAAGCATTTTCTTCGAAATCTGAAATTTATCGATTCTAATTAGGGAGCTTAAGCAACAGCGTTTTTGAGCGACGGACGTCAACCGGAAGTGGCCTTTTTCGTTTTTGGACGGTGGTTTTTGCCTAAATTTTTGGACAAATCGTCTCCTTGATAATAAAGACAGTTAGAAATACAAATTTGGTAACGTCAAGGTGCTTTAAAAGGAAAAAGACCTCACTTCCGGGTTGTCGTGTGCCGCTCGAAAACGCCTGTGCTTAAGCTCCCTATTGACACCTTCGAGTCGAACCTCTCATATCTAGCCGTTTTATTTTTTTTGTGAATAATTGCTTCTTTTTGATACCGACCTTAATACTGTTTATTTTGCATTGCTCGAGAGGTGCGATTTGTTTAAAATCCAACATCCTTTCTTGTGAAAGTTGGTTACTATAATTGTCACTTAAACCTTACCTCCTTAAATTTCATTGTAAGGCGCAGATGATTCTGTCGTTCCTATCAATGAACTTCTGAATGCTTGAATGGCCATGGGGTTAGTCAACGTAGGTTTCGATACAAAATCGTTTCGCGATCGATACAAGTTGTTTCAGTCGAGGTGTAAAACGTTTCATGTACTTGGCTTAAAAAACAAAGAACATGCTCGAAATGTTTTTCGTGTTCATAGTAAGGTTCGATAGGTATTACGACGTGGCGATTTCGTTGGTGGCGAGGTGACCGGCCAGATACCAGAAGAACTCGGAGAGAGCGCGAAGAGAGAAGGGGAGAGGGTCAAACGGCTTTGGAACACAATTGTCATTAAACAGGAGCCCATCAAATGGAGCCTCCATCTCCCATACAAGCCCTTGGATAGCCTGCGTAGCAGGCGTTTCCAATCGAGTTATTGCGCAAAAGTTAGATAGTCACTCCTTTTTTTTTGCTCTCTTCCCAACTTTCTCGACGAACTCGCGCGGAAACGCTTGCTACGCAGGCTAGCCCTTGGAGTCAACCCTTTCCCGAGTAAATTTATAATTAGAACGTTTCCTTAGAGGAGACTTCGCGCGCCGACAGTGGGAAGAGCCAATCACAACGACGAAATGATAGTGCTATTGTACTTCATCAAACAGCAGGAAATACGGAGTTCGACTAACTTTATTTTTTCACGGTATTGTGACATACGAGACTCACGGAAATATGACACTTTTCGAAGGGAACAAGCCGTTCTATTTATAAATCTACTCGTGAAAGGGTTGACTCAAGAAATTAATGGGGATGGAGGCTCCATTTGATGGGCTCCTGCATTAAAATAACAATAATTCACGTCCAATGCGATAAAAATAACTTTAAGAAGTTTTTTCATGTTCTATGGGGCCTCTCTCCTTATACGGAAACCGGTTGTTTCCATACAAACTTCTTTCAGTGAAACTGCACAATCCTGACTGATCACAGTCTCTTCAAGTATATATGAGTTTTGGCATGAACACGAAAAACATCTCCAGCATGTTCTTTGTTTTTTAAGCCAAGTACATGAAACCTTTTATACCTCGACTGAAACAACTTGTATCGATCGCGAAACGATTTTGTATCGAAACGATCGTTGACTAACCCCATGGCCATTTAAGCATTTAGAAGGTCACTGATAGGAACGACAGAATCATCTGCGCCGTCCGAAACACACTTCCTCCGTTTCGAGCATTGTCACGGCAAATTGGAGGGTGGTCATTTGTTTCAAATGACAACCATAATGAAAGAACTTAAGACGGAATCCACCAGAAAATTGAGTAATTTCAATTTTCAGTGGACAAAAACCTTGCCTGGCCAGAATAATTTAAACAACATCGTATTCTTTTTTACACTGGGCTAAAGATGTAATTAGTCATCTGTAATAACACCAAAGAAAATTTCTTATGGGAGCCCGCGAAAATAAATGTCAAATTTGACAAAATGATGTGTTACACATGAAATCTTTGAGAATTTTACCTGTGTTCGCACAATTCTTGTGAAATTTGACATTCATTTTCTCAGACTCCCGTGAGATATTTTCTTTGGTGTTGTTACAGATGACTAATTACATCTTTAGCCCTTGAAAAATGTAAAAAAAGAACGCAATATTCTATAAATTGTTCTGGTACAAGGTTTTTGTCCACTGAAAGTTAAAATTACTCAATTCCTGATGGATTCTGTCTTAAACTGCTGAAACCCAAGTGTCCCAAAAATTCTCACCGTGACTGTGAGCTTCCCCTTCACTCACACTTCTTAGACTTCCCATCGCTCGTGTATTCCCTGTTGCTCGTGATATCTAGCTTCCCTTTTCCTTTGGGAATGAGATAAACCTAGCAGTGAACGTAGTTGGCTAAAAAAGCCAACTACGCGAAATGCTAGAAACGCGATTCAGTGTTTTTAAAAAAAAATGTCTGAAAGAAACGCTCCTGCAAACAGGGTCCAGTTTCAGGTGTGCTAAAGCCGTGTCTGACTTTGTACTTACTGGTTTTTAATTTTCACGGCAAAAATACGTCTGATCAGAATTTTTGATTGTTTTTGTACGAGAAATAAAAAGCTGTGTTCTTAGCATGTAGACCGTCAGGTACTGCCTTTTTTATCGATTACGGGTTAACTTCTACGCATTCGGGCCTTATACCACGAGCCCAGGGATCCCGAGGTCAGGAATTAAACAACTAGTTCCCTTTCCTGTCAGAAATTAAGTAATCGGCAAAAAAAATCGTCTCCTCTTCAAAACGCTTCAATAAGAATTGTCCACGTCAGTAAGGCTCTCACATTTCCAGAACCGTTCGGGACATCCGTGCCCACGCAACAGATGTTTCAAGGTCACGACTGAATTTTACTTTGAACCAGAACTTTTTCTTAAAGGAAAGCTTCAGCTTGAACTTTAAGCTAGAGAAAAGTTAAAAGAAGAAGGTTGAAGTTTCTTGCCATCAAGTAATTTTCAATCCCCTGTCATGTTTCCTTCTAGCAGCGTTTCGTACGATCTGGGAAACTTCGGGTTATGCTCGGCCGAATTCCGATTGTCGGCTTGGTACGAAGAACAGACGTCACTGCCCGAAAATAAACATGGATAAATAATCATCTGCAACGTTTGCATTACTGTGCCCTTTGTCAGACGTGTAAACGTTCATGCTATCTGGCTTTCGCTTTCATTTTTTCCGGGATTCCCTCCGTCGCTATCGCCCAATAAATTTGTGAATCAAGGAAGCAACACCAGTTTAAAGAAATGGCAGAATGTATGCAAGAAACTGAGAGCAATGTGGAGGATAAAATAGACGACTCGACAGAGTTCACACCGATACCTTCAGAGTCTGAGTTTTCCGCCGTAATTTTTAACAGTGTTCCGGAGTGCTACCCTCCTGACAGAGAGATAGAATGTCGCTACACTATTAAGAGTTCTGTCAAACCCCACTCTCGGGACTGGATTGGGCTTTTCAAAGTTGGTTGGCAGTCCTCGCGGGAATATTACACTTACGAATGGTCGCCAATGCTCGAGATTCAAATTGGCGAGCAGGGTAAAGCGATTCATAACAGAGTCTTATTCCGTGAAAGGTATTTGCCTAGGGCAGATGACGAGTTTTATCAGTTCTGTTATGTTACTAATGCTGGCGATGTGAGAGGAGCTAGCGTTCCTTTCCAGATTAAAACCAAACCAGTGGAGCAGGAAGATTTGGAATGTTGCGAAATTGAAGATGACGATGGATCGTCAATAATGCTCGTTAAAAACAAAACAGCGATGCTCGAAGAGTCACTTGCCCGAACGCTGGAAGAGAATACTGTTTTGAAAGCATCGAAAGAAACGATGGAAGTCGATCTGTCTAATGCTAATGAGAAGATTATGGAACTCGAGTCTCAAAAGGTTGAATTAACAACTGCGGTAAAAGTTGGAAAGAAGAGATTGGCCCAGCTAGAGTCAGTTGTAGCACAGAAAAACCAGTTGTTGGAAGCAGAACAAAGCAGACGTAAAGAGGTCGAAAGTACAGTGGATAATTTGAAGACTCTGCAAGAAAATTCAGATAGACGCATCGATGAATTGATGATGTTAATGGAGCAGCAACGTGCACAGACCTCTGAAGTTGAGAAAAACAAAGAGAAGTTAGTTGTTGAGCGAAAGCAGTATTTGGACACCATGACCGCTGATAGACAGATGATTGACAAGCAGCAGAATGAGATAAAAGCTAAGGAAGAGGAGCTCAACTTGCTGAAAAATCGATTTATAGAGTTCAGAACCAAAGCTAGGGCTGAATCTGATGATTTTGCCGAAAAACTGGAAAAGTTAACTACTGCAAATGGGAAATTACAAGAACAGCTTGCTCAAAGCATAGCAGAAAATAACATCCTCAAAAGAAACTTGGAGGAAGAGTCAGAGCGACTTACTAAGAAGGTCAGAGAAGCTCATTTGGAGCTCAGGAACAAAGATCAAGAAGTTCAGAAATTGCAACAAGAAATTTCTAACTATGACTGCATTGTTACAGACTTGGAGAATTCCAAAGATGAAATTTTAAAGGATGCATCGCGCGAGGCAGAGTTATATGGCAAGAAAATTGAAAAACTCCTAGATGAAGGTAAAGAGAAACAAGAGCTGGCATATCAGCTAGAGCAGGAGCTGGAAGATGTCAAAAGTCAGCTGAACCAGGAGAGGGGAAAGACAACTGCTCTGGAAGAAGATTACGAGTCAGTAATCAGAGCACTGCAGGACCAACTGGATGCAGAGAAAGCTTTGAACCAATCTTTGTGTTCACAGTCAGATCGTAACTTGGCTAGTCTTCAAGGTCAAGTACAGAAACAGCTAGAAACAAACATGGAAATGGCTAGTCAGTTGGATGCAAGAAAGGCTGAAATAAGGGCACTTTGTGATGAGTTGGATGCGTGCAAGAGGCAGCTCTCTAAGTCACAAGGTGAAGCACAAAGCATTCTTGCTCGGTTCACTACCGCCGATGCTGAAGTCAAATCTCTGATAGTGGAGAAAGAGAATCTCCAGACAGCACTTACCGACACACAAGGAGCCAGTGCGCGGTCATCAAAGAATTCAAAAGCTTCCATGTATGCCCTTCAGACAGCCCATACCCATCTGGAAAAGAGTTACCTTAAAGTGAAGAAGGAACGGGATGAGTTATGGGAAAAGAGAAATGAACTAAAGAGGACCATTTCAGCATTACAAGGTGACCTCTCATCTGACGACCTCCGTCTCCAGATTGAGGAACTGAGAGCAAACAACGAGGACTTGCGTGTGCGCCTCACCATGGGAGCTGAGGCTTACAAGGTCAAATTCATTGAATGCCGTCAGCTGGAAGCCAAGTTGAGCAAGCTGAAGAGAACCTCCTCTGTGGAGTCATTGGAATCAAGCTCGGTGCTGGAGATGCAGTCTGTAGTCACTAAGCTGCGGAAGGCCTTGGACGATGAAAAAAGAGCCCTGAGTGTGGAGAAAAGTATGGTGTCCCAGAAACATGATGAGATAAATCAGGTATCATTTCAACAAAGCTAAAATATTTTGTTTATTTTATAAAACCCTATAGAGGAGTCAGCTGATTTTTTACAAACTATGCAGTTGTCTAGGGTTCTCAGAATGATAGTTTTTAAGGAAATCTCTCAAGTGGTAGTCCAAAAACTGATTACAAGAATTTCTGTGTTAATATTGACTTAACCATTGTCAGGAATTTGACAGCTTTGGGTTGATGTTTTAAAATAGGAAAGTGATGTCAATAGTTGTAGGAGTTGGCTCATCAAGAAAATATCACCCTTCATGCTGACTGTCTTAGAAATGATAAAGTATTGAGCTTGCATTATTTTCATTGACATAAATAATGTATATTGGGTAAGCGAATTTCTATTTAGATTATTTTCAATCTGTGCTGACCCAATATAAAGTAGTCTCTAAATTGCTTCTTTTTGATTCTTTCCCTGTATTAAACGTTGTTTGCTTTAAAATTATTGTACCACTTGTCAAGTTTTTAAGTCTCTTCAGGTATACTCCTAAATCAAATTGCACTATTACTAGGAATACACATACAACATGGATGTACAACATGACTGTGTATTGACATATTCCCTGCTTGCCATTCTTTGATCAGGCTGTATTGTTTGTCAGTTTTTGAGGAAAGGGTGAAGTTTTACCGCAATGACTTGTGCATGATTCTTCAGTTTTTGTCCCATGATGATGTCATAGTCAATATTTGTACTCATCAAGGAAATCATGTGATTATTTCAGTAGAAACATGCCTTGTGTCTTTAATCCCATACTATTTCATGTGCATGTGTCTGGTCATGAAAATATATATGTTTAGTATGATGTGGAATTGATTACCAGCTACATATACTATCTAATTCAAATTGTTAGAAAACTTTTCTGACACATTTTCAAACTTTGAAATTTGAAATCATGCCACCATTAAACTATTGAAATTAATGTTTGTCCCAGGCTTCATTAATAGAGATGTATACTAGTCAGCAAAAAGAATTAATGTTTCATTTGTCTTGGAACAGAGCCGGAGAAAGCAAATATGATAGAGCTATTCAATTTTGGGTTTAGTAAATAATGCACTTCCTTAAATTTTAAGTAAAATCACTAGAATTCAGAAAGGACAAAGAGTAAACAGAGAGTAAAATCCATTAGTTACAGTTCATTAACTTAGCCCAGCTCTCAAACAAGTTGAACTTTACTTCCTTGTTATGAATTATTATTGTTATTACTATTGTTATCATTCATTAAGACATTGAAAACATTTTTTATATATCTCTTCCCTAGAATACGTTTACCCAAGAAAAAATTTTTTTTAAAATCAAAATGAATTTTTTAAAATGTTTTTTAATTTTGAACAATTTTTTAAAATTGAAATGAATCTAAGTGCTTTTTTAATGGAAAGGAATTGTAAATGGTGCTTTGACTGAATAGTTTTTTTTTAAAGCAAAAGTAATTGTAAATAGGATTTTATAATTGGCTTTGTTATCAATAAAAGAATTATTTATTTAAAAAAATTATTATTATTATTATTATTTAATGTTAATAGCAATTAATAAGAAGTTGAATTTAAATTAATGTCAAGTCATTTTTAATTTAGACATATAACCAACAGCCAGAACACAACGTATTTAAAAACCCCATGAATTTTATAAGTTCAAGGTTTTATGCGGGTTGTTCAATTTTATCCTAGGTGTAAATTTTATTTTCCTTTGTATCTAACTCATTATCATAATGGTGGCAATAAGATTATATACTTCCACACCCCAAAAGGTTAAAAAACATTTAGGAAAATAAAATTTAAACTTTAGTGTACATTAAAATTAAAGCACAACATATGCATTAGCACATGATTAAAAATATACAATCAAAGATCTTGTTAGCGATCACCTCAGAAATTCAAAAAAGTGGTTGTAACTAGAACTGGTCGCTTATGAGAATGAGCTCTCCTATAAAGCAATCACATGGCTAAACAACAGAGGGTGGTCGCTTACAAGAACTTCAAAAAGTCATTAATAAGTCATTAAAAAAAACAAAAGAAATTTATTTTTAATAAGTGTCTTTTATATCTGATGTAGACTTGACTTAACTTTACGTCCAACTTATTACACCAAAATAATCCCACATCTAAATGTTAGTGTTGATGTATATGAATGAGACTGGTTGCTTACCAGAGCTTATGGGTAATCCCATAAGTGGTCACAGTTGCTTACGGGAGCAGTTGCTTACAAGAGCTTTTCATTACAAAGTTTAAGTCACAGTTTAAATGGTGTTTCACAAAGGTGGTCATAACTAGAGCTGGTTGCTTACAAGTGTGGTCGCATGGAGAGCTTCAACCGTACTTTTATTCTTTTCTGTGGGTGAACTTGAAAGTTTTGGTTTTGTAAACACCCATCCGTTGAAATGAAACACAGTACACTTGCCAAAAATGCTTGGCTTTTCCTTGAATTTTATTTGTTGGTTGAAGAAGATTTCTTTTCTCTCTTTCAGCTTCAGTTGGAAATTTCTGAATTGAAAGAGAAAGTGCAACATCTAGAGCATGAAGAGCTGCAGAAGATGGATAATGGTCCTAGCCAGCAGATGATAGAGGAGCTGCTGCAAAAGCTTTCATCCTTGGAGAAGGACCTAGAAGTTGAGAAAGGAGAAAAGGAGAGCATTATTCACGAAATAGTTAATCTGCAGGAGGTTTTGAAGAAGAAGGAAGAGGAGATACAAATATGTGAAGAAAATCTGAAAGCCACACAAGATGCACTTTCCAATGAACAAGCCGACAGAGAAGCTTTGGGTGAGCAGGCTAGGCAAAAATTGCAGGAATATGAAGAGAATGAGCATAAACTTGATCTAAAAGTTAAAGAGCTGACTAGAGAAGTAGAAAGATGGAAGAAGGAAGTGGATATGCATGTTGAGGCTGAGTCAAGGCTTATGGAAAACAGAAAAGAAGAGGAGCCCACACCCACACCAGCTGACAAGCAGGAGCCAAAAACAGAACAACACACTCCCTCAGGTACTTTTGCTTTAACCTTAATCAGTGGTGATAAAAAATCTAGATAAACATTAAGGGTATTTTCCATTTGTTAGAATAACCCAGCCAGACCGGTCCAGTTGTAAACAGAATTCCACTTTTAATCTGTAATTTATCCATCCAGATCGGTTTATACTTGACTCTTTAAGCCCTAAGATCAGAATTTGAATTCTCATTTGTTGCCCCTATTCAGTTCCTACAGAAGTAGTGGGGAGAAGTTGATAAAATATCAAGCAAATTTATCTTGTGTGATCATGTCTGTAATTCTCATGACCACTCTGTTTTACAAAGCATTGATATTACAAGGAGAAATTTGATGCTGATCACTCTTAGGGCTTAAAGGGTTAAATGGTACATGCTCTTCAGTGATGGGTTTTAGGGAAAATTTTGAGAAAAGACTGATATGGTACACTTTCAAAGTGACCAGTCCAGCTGGCCTTTTCTGACTTTTGGAAAGTGCCCCAAGATCAATCCAGACAAGTTACAAGGTGGAATTTTTTAGTCTGAAAACATACAACAAATATATATCTGTCTGGATTTAAAAAAAGGTATCTACAAAAATTTCAAGTGTATTTTAACAATTTGACCCTTCAGGTGAATAAAAAGCAGTTGAAAGTCGCTAGTTAGGGTTTGTTCTTGGCAAAATCGACAGATTTGTAACAAAATGAACAACATTTAAAAGCACAGAAATAATGACCTTTCAGTCTCTCAAACTATGGGGCTCATAGCGAGATGCCCGACTAAAACAGACCTAGAAACCACCTTTCTTGACCCCACAATTGGTTGTCTAAGACAAAATCACTTGAACTAAACACTCGCAAAGCATTTTCATGCTTATGCACAATATTCTTATAACACGAGCACCACGACATACCTGAAATCTGTCTGTCAACAACTTCAGGAAATCACACAATTAACCACGTTCACAGCACTGATAAAACTATCCTCAACCAACCAGGCACAATTTCTCCACACTTAATACGAGCAAGATATCATCAAATTACTCTCTCTCAATAACTCTTGCTTTCTCCACGTAAATCATCACATGTCAACTTTGTTGACTCAGTTGATTTATTCAAGATCCCGGATGTAGACGAGCTGTTTTTAAAGGGACATATAAAGGCCAGCCTTCAAAACAATTTTTAACTAAGTCTCTGGCCTGGTAAGAAATTAGCTTCAATTTTGCTCTTGCAGAATAGATTTGACTCCCACAGGCCAGAGACTCGTTACCGCCCACATCAAAGCTCGCAATATGATGCGTTTCCGTCTCAAGCCCGAGATCAGTGTTTCACCTGTTTAGCCAAAGTGACATGAAATATGATAACATATTGGACGACGGCAGACTTTGCCCCAATCGTGAGACTTGTTCCTTCATAAGGCTTAATGATGCCTTTCGGAAAACTTTGCCGCAGGCGGCCAAAAGGAAATCTAGAAAATTAACCGACCACGGAAAACAACTTCTACCGCACGTGCCCATTTCAAACGTCATAGTGCTTTATGACAAGGAGAGAATTATGGAAAGGATAGTTATGGAAGAGGTGAAGAGGGGTTGGGGAAGATGTAAACAGCATATTGAACACATGTTTTTTTATCTACTGCAGCTTGTTAGGGGATTTTTGTTATGAAAATATCATTTTTTTAAAAAAGGAATGGTCATGTACTGAATAAGCCTCAAATGAGACTGTTGCTAAAAATTCGTGGAGGTACCTTTTTGCAAATCCAGACAGATGTACATTTTGTGTGTTGCTTAGCGTTTTGTACACATGATGAAGTGAAGTAAAATTTCGTTTTTAAAGTGTCATATTGTGCAGTAGGTTTCTGCCTTCTTCGGGGTGGGTAAACCTGTTGAAAATTACATTTTAGGGACAAACTGTATTTTGGAAATGTGAGAAGAAGGTAGTGTTGATATTAGTTTTGTTTCAGTTTATTAAAATACAAAAGTCGACCTGATTTTCAAATGTTTGTTACAGCAAAAGACTTGAGGAAGTGGAAGGATTTTCAATCAGTTTTCATTTGGGCATTCACTTTGGGGTGCAAAAGTCATTTTAGCACAATATTTAGCCCTATAAATGTCAGTACAGTGTATGTGAAAAAAGGCTGACACATCATGCCGAGTCATGAAGACCAGCTTCAAGCCTGTTTGTATGATCAAATAATATTGTTGTTGTCTACAGGTCAAAGATTTATGCCAGTTCGTGGAATACTTCCATTTTGGCAGCGCCCTCCTCCAATCCCCCCTCAGGGTGCACATCAACAGCCTTGGGTGTTTGTCCAGCACCCACAGGGACCTACAAGTCCTTCTCCTGTAGCTCCCTCGCAGCCCCAACCCGTTACGGTACAGCCCCTGCAACCGAGTGCCCCCACACCGGAGCCCGAGGTACTGCAATGCCCAGTCTGTAAGGCCCTTCTACCACCAAGTGTGGATAGAGATGAGCATGTTAATAGTCACTTTGATTGAGCTTTCTATTTCATGCAGTCCACTCAAAAATTGTTGTTTTATAACCTGTATAAAAGTGTTATTGTTTAGAATAGACAAGTAGAACAAAATTGCTTTGAGTTAAAAATTATGTACTTACATTCAAGGAGTTAGAGACAAGCAGTATTTCAGTTTACTTTCCTCCTTTCCTTGATTTTAGAACAATCTGAAACTCTTTTCAAACAGGGTGCAGATCCACTTCTCTAACTTACATCAAACTTCTCCTTCTAACACCAACACTAAATCAAACAATAAGCTTGTGAAATTCAGCCTAAAGGAAAGTCGGTTTTATGGTTTGCCATTCAGGCAAGTTGTTGCTAGTATGTACTAGCCCAACAGTCTTTAAAGTAGCCCAACAAAATTTTGATGAGGAGCATTGATTAAAATACTTCTGCAATTTGAATTTCCCCAAAAACTTTACTTGCCCTTCAGGCAAGTTAAGAACAGGATTCACTGGCTCCATTGCAAAATCGACTAGCCTGGGGCTATCAGACATGACTTTCTTTGCACGCTGGAGATTGAAGGAAATCATTTACAAAAATGTCTTGATCTACATGTATAAGCAAATTCTCCTTGCCAATACTTGAAGAAATGTATGGAGAAGAGTGTTGAGGGTATGCATGTAGATAGGCACATGTACATGTAGTGGTACATGTCATGATTATAGACATGTTTAGATTAGAGACTTACATGTATATAAATTTGTATCCTTTGGAATAATTATTCTAGATCATCAAGGATAAAAACAATTTTATTTTAGTCAAATAACTATAAAGAATTACTTTAAAGTGTAAAATTGTAGCAGACTTAAGATTCAAGACTTTTCTCACAAAGAAAGTCAGCAATCAAGCAGAAATGAACAGACAGTATTTACCTTGAAGTCGTCAAAGTTCAGGACAGGGTCATCATCAATTAATAATATTTGAAAAGAAAGGGAAGTAGAAGTAACTGCTTTCGTGTCATTTGGTTGTTGTCGTTTTCCTTCTACTTAAGGGTATTATTTTATTAGCTACTTCTTGAAAGTTATTGTCCATGTAGATGTAACTTATTTTTGTTTTCTAGCTCGACCTAAGGTCTAGTTTCCCATTTGCACAATATTTTTTCATTTTTTTATGCATTCATTGTGACATTTTTTGTCCATCAATCATAGCATACAAGTACCAATAGTGCAAACATTAATGATTCAGTCTTTTAGTAAGGTATTACTAGGATGTATTTAATGACTAGTACATTGTATAAGTCTTCTTTTGATTTTTGTTGCTCACTCAACAGTGTCCCAAATTATGTCAAGGGAGGCCCATTTGATCACCTCTAATCTCCTTATAATTATAATATTCAAAAGTGTGATAAGTACATTGTAGCTTTGTAGGGGCCAAATTAACTTTCAAAAGCTGTTGTTTTACCTTTTCCCTTTTATCCGGGGAATGTTATTATCTTTATTATTAATTTGCATCAGTATATTAAAGGAATAAATGTAACTGTTAAGATAATGCAAGGATTGAAAAAAAGAGACTGAAGAGTAACCAATCAATACATCGACATCCATCCACAATATCAAGATAGCTATCAACAGGGTGTTTTGCTAGTCTAAATCAAGGAAATCCTACACCTTTTAATTTTTTGGGCTTAAAGTTTCACTAAGAAGGTATTCAAAATGATTCATAAGTTTTCAACATCAGTAAAACACAAAAAGTATTTAAATGCTGTTGTAATCGCAAACAGCCGGGGCCAATCTGTACATAGAGCAAATCTAGTAAGTTCTAACAAAGGTAATTCATTTTTACAATGTCATGCTGTAAAATTAATCTTTCAGCATTTACCGGTAACTTTGAAAGTATGGTGGACAAGCCAGAACATATAGAATATAGTTTTTCAGTGGGGGTGGTTGGGGGGGGGGGGGGTT